TGAAGGCGCTGTGTGTTTCGTTGTGAAAGCGAAACTACTTTGTTTGGCCTTCCAAAAGAGGACGATATCCGCTTCGTCATGCCTGGAGCTGATCCGTGCTGGTCACTGAGGAAATACATCAACTTCGCGCTGTGGATCGCTGGATCGGCTTTTACCGTGGATGAAGCGGAGTCCAGACCAGGGTCTTCACATGTGGTTGCCGCAAGCCCGCCGGCCACTCTTTCGTCGAATCTGCCCGCCGTGTGTGACGCTGTGTGTTTCATTGTGAAAACGAAATTACTTTGTTTGGCCTTCCAAAAGAGGACACGACTAGAAATCAGTGGTTAAGTTGTATTTACAACACTGTTCCAGAACAGTTCAACCCAAATATTCAGATGTGTGCAGCACATTTTATGGAGGACTGTTTCCTGATCCTGGGAGAGTAGACTACAATGCCGGCTGTTCTGACTCTCAGACTGTAAGTAGGTTTTTTATATTAAAGAATTTGCCACTGACGATTCAAACGCGAGCTTTGAGCAGTGTAGAGTAGCGCTAGTTGTTTGTCATTTCTCCGGCCACAAATGCAGACATGGTTTTATGTTTACGCGGCACGATGCAACGCGTAAAAAGACAGTATATGTCATTATAATCTGTAATTATGTCCCTACTGGATGCAACAAATCCTTCGTTCATAATGGGTTTTAATGTTTTTGTCTCGTCGCTCTGGCCGGACAGGGAATCACAGTATGGTAAGGGGCATAACATTTCCGTCACACGTTTGAGGTATTCGGCCAATCACAACGCACAACTCGCTTTTCAGACCAATGAGATTTGTACAAATCGACGCGTTTCAGAAAGGCGGGGCATAGAGGAGAAACAATAATGTACAGTATGTGGAAAATAATGTGTTTTTTGAACCTTGAACACATTTCATTACACCAAATACACAAAATAATGTTCTTTTTAGCAACATCATATGAGCCCTTTAAGGGTGATTGATGCTACAGCAGTTTTAGAAGCGGTTCAATTAGACAGTATTCACACACACACACGATCAAACATCCACTGAATTCCGTGGTAATAAAAAAATTAAAAATTTTAATAAAATGCATGTATTTTCATTTAATATGCATGCTTTTTAGAGAAAACCATGCAGGATTTTAAAAAAAAGTTACAAGAAATGTCCAGTTAATATGCATGCATTTTCTAGAGAAAATAATTCCGAAAAAGGTGATTTGCCCTAAAAGACCTGTACTCCACTCTGTACATCATCTGTAATCACATGCTTTGGAAGCATTTGATGAAATGCCAGCAATTTGTCATGAAAAATCACAGGAAAAATTTATTTTTAGGGCTCAAAACAAGTTAAGCTCTAGCTTAAAAGCACACA